ATTTATATGTTAAACTTTAAGTCTCAACAGAATATGAAAAAAGAATTAAAAAATTAAAAGATATGAATAAACAGCTACTTATTTTTACACAAAAATTTAGAAATCTAACCATATACATCATAGTAGCAGGATAATCCTGTGACTTTTTTTTTCCTCTTTTCTCTTTTTTTTCATCTATTACTACAGAAGGCTCAAGTCAACAGATTCAGACATTGCCAGTCCTGTGGATAACTCACTACTATTGTGGACTATTGGGCTGTATTGGAAAATGTTGCTGAATTTATGCACCTACAATATTTGGATAGCAATGGAATACCTATCCCTGACAAAACTAAACATAAAAAGGAGATATAAATGAAGGACAATTCTGTATCTGGATATACAAAATTCTTAGGATAGATATATAGCAACTTTTTCTTAATTCAATAAGAAGAAAGATTTGTGCTAACAGTGTTTGGACAGGATATCATGTTGGCATCTTGAGCTATGAATGACTACTCACTACAAAGACAACACTATGCAATGTATTAATTGATGTAACTCTCCTACCAACCTGTTTTGAAACTGTCTCATTGCAATTTTTTTTCTGAATAAAATTAATAAAAAATGAATCCTGGCATTAAAGGAATGTTGAGAACATTTATGATTTGTAAAACCCAGGACCATCTTTTTCCATAAATTTCAGGGCTTTGCAAGACATGCTATGAAAGATAAAAATACAGTACAGATGTTTTTCAGGAATTTTGTAATACTGGAAAAATATCTTAACTAGTATTTGTATCCTGGACTATAAACAATTGTTTGTATTTGTCTTGATAAATAAAATGCATCTAAATCAAGCTTTACCTTGATTCAGAAAAATGCTTACATATGTGCAGGTAGTATTTATTTCCTGTCAAACAATATTTCTTTTGCCCCACAGCTTCACTGGCATTTGCTATTATCTGATTTCTTGATGATAACCATTCTTTCTGGATTAAGAAGGAATTTTACTGTTAATTTAATTTGCATTACTCCTATGGCCTGTAATGTTGAGTATTTTTTATGTATGTATTGGACACTGTGCATCTGCTTCAGAAAAATGTCTATTCATTTTGCTTGCCTGCCTTTTTAGTTCCCCATTATTTATTATGAGTCTTTTATTTTTAGGGGATCCAATTGTCTTGAGTTCCTTATATAATCTAGATGTTAGTTCTCTGAAGAGCAGCAAGCAAGAGTTCTCTGCTCTCTATTTACTCTCTACTATGTTGATTGTTTCATTTGTCGCACAGAAGGTTTTTAATTTGATAGCATACCATTCGTTGATCCCTGGTACTATTCCTAATACAATGCAAATGAAACTTTTGCAATACAAAAATTAGATTTTCTTTTTTGTTATACATTTACTGGGATACTCTAATGTCTACTGGGTAGACATTTATTCTCAAATTTAGAGCCAAGTAAGAAGAGAAGCAATTGATCTTATTTAGTTACCTCTCAGTACTCTGGATAGTGAACATATTCTCAAAAGTGAAAAAGAAAAATTCTAAGTCTAAAAATTCTAAGTCTAAATAATTGCCCTTGGCTGTGGCTAGAAATCATGGAACACTCTTCAGCAGTGCAGAACCAAGAGCAGATGGGCAATTATTACCTGGAGCTTGGTTGCAAAACTATTTAGAGGTGGTGAGAGTGAACTAGGCATGCAGAACATTATCACTTCTAATCCTCTGACTTATACTTTAAGTTTGGTTCCAAAGCTTTGATCTTGAAGTTCTACTTTCTAAATAAGGCCTCTCTTCAAAGTCAACCTAGAAAAATGTCTAAGTATTCAAAATACAACACAACTTCATCATTACTAAAACCAACGAAATACAAAATTTAGGATTCAATAATTGATGTGTTTATTTTTCTTACAGTAAAGGTGCTTACTTACTGAGAATGTATTACTACAACATTTTTGATGCCAAAAATGAAATATTAACTTCCTGTAATTTAAAAGGTCCTTTAAAAAAGCTCTTACATTGAATTTTACTTCCTCTAGCAAAAATGATAGAAGTTTAATTTTAGATATGTGCTGGTTCATTTAAAACCAGTTAATTTTCATCTGTAGCAAGCCAGAGATTTTCTACATTTATCATGCAATGTTTTTATTATTTTGTTAAAACAGGCTTTGTTTCCATAAAATTGCTTTGGGATGTTATCATTTAATTAAGTCATCCTAAGTACATTGTGGGTCACACTGTCTTTTCAAAACAAGGAAATCATAAAGCTCTCTGGGCTTGGATACATATTCTCAAGATTCTGGGTTCATTTAAATAACATATGTAACATTCTAAGCTTCTTTGAGTTTTTACATAAAAATAAAGGAATGTAGTCAAGTTTAAACAAATGTATTAAAGCACACATAGTAAAGAAGTCAAGCTGATTAGACTGCTTTTAAGTCTTAATATTGGTTTTCATCCATTTGCATATGAATAGACCCTAAGTTGCCAAAAGTATGTCACTCTTATCTTTAAACAAATGCCTTTGTCACTGGGTGCCAGAACCTAACTAGAAACTGAATGCAGCTGCATGAGACATTGTCTTTGAATGCTGTGCAGCTAGTAAGTGTCTAACCCTTGACCTCTAGGCCCTGCCCTGAGTCCTGCCCTCTCCTGAGCAAAAGCCTCAGGTGATGGCGGTGTTCTCTCATGGGAGATGGTGACTGGGAATATGCTTTCCGCACTACGGTGCCACACAGGGTCATGAACCCTTTTGTTCACAGATTGAGGCTTGCCTTTGACTAAGTTGGACACTTAATCCCAAAGCTGCACATATCAGCAACAATCCACCTATTAGTGCTAAATCGGGACACAAACACACAAAAATAAAATGCTCAACATCCATTAAGCACTTTAGTATCAAAATAACACAAAACAAACAGAACTAAAATATAACCTTGAGCATTACTTCTGAGAAAGTCAAAGCCTCTGTACTGGAGCCATTCTTAGGAGAAAGGATTATATATTTATTTTAAAGAAATCATAGAGTAAGCAACAAACAAAACAAACCTCCTACATAAATTTGGAATATTTATTAATCAACTGTAACATCCAGTAGAAAATTTTTGACGAGTAAATTTTCAAACAATGTCCTCATTAATAGACAGCACTGCATTTCTTTCTAATTATATTTGACACATCACCAGCACCTGTGAGTCTTTCTCCACATTTTACACATTGTACTTCGCATGAGTGGGAAATGTTTTTAAGGGTTAAGGAAGCATCTTGTTATGATCACTAAATACAGCACTACAGTTTAGTCAAACAGAGTATGTTTTGGGTTTATCCAAAGCACCTATCACTGAGAATTCCAAGTCACCTTAAAAGAAGGTTTGGGAAACTACAGTGAGCTTATGCCTGCCATTATAGAAATGGAATGACCCCAGACACATAAAGTATGGTTCTATCAAGTGCTATAGCTGACATGAGCTGTGAGCTGTGACAATCACACACCGCATAACACTGCTTCAGGACTGGAGCACGCATGTGACAGCAGGTCCATAAGAGTATAGTGGAGCTGAAAATTCCTATTGCTCAGTGATGTCCTAGCTGAGTTAACATAGTGGTGATGCTGGTGTAAATGAACCTCCTATACTGCCAATTGTACAAAAAGACAACACATAAACTCTGTACTTAATAGTGATAAAAATGACTATGCTAGTGGCTTATGCATTCACTATAGCATACTTTATGCCATTGATGTTCTACTTTTTGTGGTGCTGGGATTGAACCCTGGGGGCTTGTGCATGTGAGGGAAATCTTGTATAACTGAGCTACATATCCAGGTCTTATTGTTACTTTAGACTATGTTCAGACTCATGTGAATAGTTAAAAAGTGGTATTCATAAGCACTTGTCTTTGAATGCTGTCCAGTATAGCAAGTATCTAGCCCTTGACCTCTCGGCCCCACCCTGAGTCCTGCCCTTTTCTGAACAAAAGCCTCAGGTGATGGCTCTGTTCTTTCATGGGAGATGGAGACTGGAAGCCTCAGGTAGGTCCTTCAGGAGGGATTTCAGATGAAAGTCATTACCCTAAGAGATGACACTCCCATGTGTGTTATTGCTCCTAAAGACCTTTGGGTGGACGATCCGTGGTGCTAGAAGACACTGATATTGATCATTTTCACCTTGAGTAGGCCTGGGCTCGTGTATATGTATTGTAGTTTTTAAGAAAAGAAAACCTTTAAAAGTTAGAAATTTTAATGAAAAAGTTTATAGAATAAGGATATAAAGAAAAAAACTTTTGGGTACCATCCATATTTGTATAAAGACACTACGGTGTTTGCTCAATGAAATCACCTCATGCTGTCCACATTGGTGTAAGGACACTAGATCGCTCAAAATGCGGGCACCTACCAATGCCTTTCTCAGGATGTAGCGACATCATTAAGTGCAGCATACTAGTACTCTAGTATGTTCAATGTGTAGCGTGCACACAGACAATATTAGCTACTACCGTCTTCTTAATTTGAAGTTCTGAGTGAAGCCAAGATCCAAAGCTTTAAGACTGCAGGGGACAGAAATTATCTCAGATGCCAGAATCCTGACAAAAAACTGAAGTGGTGGAAGTAACTTCAGAGCTTATGCAACCCACACTTGTCATTTCTTAGTCAATTTTTTTTTCGTGGACAGTACTTTTTGAGCACATGGTTCAGTAAGGTAGACTTCAGGGTGTAAACATTCTGCAACATAAAATATTATTAGCTACTTTCCACCTACAGGCACAAGATACCTGATGCAATTGAAAGGAGAGGCTTATTTGGCTCCCAGTTTCCAGTGGGTTCAAACCATAGTCCGCTACTTCCTCGGCAGAAACAGCGCGATGCAGGGACCCGAGACAGCGGTCCCCCTCAGGGCAGCCCGGAATGCAGAGCGACAGGGTGAAGCCGGCGACGAGAGCGCGGTTCTTCTGGTCCCGCCTTCAGGAACCAGTTTCTTCTGACCAGGCCCGACCTCCACCCCCATGAGGCTTTTGGGGACCATGTTAGATCTACACCGTAACATACTCCTAGGCAAGATTTTCTCCCTTTCCTGTTCTGCGCGAGCGGCCTGAGGCAACGAGTTAGGTCTCTGGGCTTCTTGTTTTCATTACATAGACAGCTCTACCACCAAGAGGGTCAATGTACCTAAAACCCAAAGGACTTTCTGTAAGAAGTGCGACAAGCATCAGCCTCGCAAAGTGAACCAGTATAAGAAGGACAGGGATTCCCTGTATGCCCAAGGAAAGAGGCGCTACGATCAGAAGCAGAGTGGCTGCGGTGGGCAGCCGAAGCCCATTTCTTGGAAGAAGGCTAAAAGGACAAAGACTGGGCTGAGGCTTGAGTGTGTGCGGCGCAACTGCGGAGCGAAGAGAAGGCTGGCCCTTAAGAGATGCAAGCACTTTGGACTGGGAGGAGACAAGAAGAGAAAGGGCCGAGTGGTCCAGTTTGAAGCTCGCGCTTCACTTTAAGGCAAGTTTATTGAAGCTATAAAAAGATTAGCTATAGGAAAATAAATGCAGTGGTAACCAAAAAAAAAAAAAATTCTGATTTCGCTGTAGGTCCATCTTGGCATGATTTCATCAAGAATATTTTATATTCTGGACACACAACTTGGCTACAAAGAAATGTTTTGAGAAAATGGAAGAATTTTCTGGAGAAAAGGGAAATCAGTGGATCCTAAAAAGATAACACTAACTCTGCCCCTCTGTCTTTGAGAGTCTGTGAAGTTGAACAGAGCCGAGTCCTGCTAGTCATTGAACAGCTGTGATATTTTTGTCTGGGCAATATTTCAGTATCATTTTTATTGTGATGAGATTTTAAAAATTTATTTTAACAAAGAAGCAGGAGTCTGTCTTAGCCATCAATTATTAAAATTTGACATTAGTAATCGATTTCACGAAGACAGCAAAACTAAGGTGGACTTTTAGAATTTTTTAAAATAAGAAATACTCCTTACTGACTTTTTGCAAACCTTAGAACAGCCTGGTATGAAGATGTAGACTTGCAATTGTAGCACTTGGGGAGGCCAAGGCAGGAGATTTGCAATTTTGAGCCCCACCTGGGCAGGTTACCAAGTTCCTATCTCAACACAAAAGATAAAAAAAATGGGCTAGGGATCTAGCCCAGTGTGAACCCAGGGCTCAATCTCCAGTATAATTCAAAATAAATTAATTTTATTTTTATCAGTGAAGTGCATGCTGCATTTCAAGAAGGACCAGTTTCTACTCAGGGTTAACTTCTTCTAAAAGGGAAATGTAGAATTAGAAAAGTCTTTTCTAGAAATTATACATAAACCTTTAAAATAGACAGGGAGATTTCCCCCTAAACACAAAGAAAGGAAAGAGCGCTTAAAAAATGGAGGGAAAGCAGGCTGTCCTCAGGCTTTCAGGCTTCACTGGTTCAGGCACCAGCAGGAAGGCCCACATCGAGTGAGGGAACTGCCCTTGCTTGTCTGCTGGTAGCTAGCAAGAGCTTGATTTTATTTTATGAGAAACAAGGATTATTCAACTCCTTTGTTCTCACTGATCTAGCACTTGTTCATTTTTAGTAGGAGCTTTTCTTAAGGGTTTCTGACCTTTGTTTTTTGTGCCAGGGACAACTTTGGTGGTGAGAAAACATCCATCCTGAAAATAATATGGAGTTTTTTTGGCATGGTTTTTACTTTGTTAAAAAAAAAAAAAGGTTGTTGTTTTGAAATAATTTTAGGATCACAGGAAGTTGCAAAGACCCATACAGAAATTTCTATGCTTCTAAACTTGCTCACCACATTGTTAGCATCTATAGCATGGAGGCAAGAATGTTGACATTAGCCCAACCCACAGAGCTTTAATCAGATCCCACTGCTTATGCGTGCATGCATATGATGCATTGTGCACTTCTGTGCAGTTTTATCAAATCTGTGACTATGTGTGACAAGTACTACAGTGAGGCCAGGAGTTATCCTATTGCCTGAGGTTTCCTCGTGTTACTCCCTCCTGGCCACCTATTCACCAAATCCCCAACTTTTGGAAACCAGAATGTGTTCTTAATTTCCATAATTTTTAATTTCACAAATGTTAAATAAATGACATCAGACATTATGCAACCTTTTCAAATGCATTTTCTTTTCATTCCATGCAATCTCCTTGAGGTTGCTTGTTTCAATACTTTACTCCTGCTTACCCCTGGACAGGAACTCACTGTATGGGGGAGCCGTGGTTTGTTTCCTTCTCTTCCTCCTCCTCTCTGTGGACATCAGAGTTGCTTTCACCTTTTAGCTTTTGAAAACAAAGGTACTGTGAACATCCATGCTCAGATTTTTGTGTGAACATAGATTTTGTCTAAGACTAATGCTTAAAAGTACAATTGCTGAATAGAACGTCTGTTTAATTATATAAGAAATGGCTCAATTATTTTTAACTAACTGAACAATATATCTTGTACCTGCAATGAATAATCCAACTTCTCCTCCTCCTCACTTGCACTTGGCATTATCACTAACTTTTGCTGGTCATTTTGATAGTGGGTAGAAAGATCTCACTTTGGCTTTAATTCACCTTTTCCTTACTGCTGATGATACTGAGCATGTTTTCTGGCACTTTTTTTGTCATTGGTACTTACTCTTTTTTTTTTTTTTAATGTATTTTGGTACAGAGCCTCACTGGGCAGCTCAGACTCATAGTGATCCTCCTGTTTTCAGCTTCCCCAGTGCTGGGATTACAGGTGTGTGCCACTACACCTGGACTCAGTGACTGGCTCAGCTCACCTGGGGGAGCATGTGGTGCCAGGATCGAACCCCAGTCCCTGTGCTTGCCCAAGCTGGTGCTTAGTCTGCTGAGCTATCTTGTCAGCCCTTATACACACTTTGGTGAATTTTTTTATCTACTTTATCAATTTTCTTTTTAAACTATTGAGTTTTTTATCTTTTTATTTTTTATTTTTTGTATTTTTAGGGAAGGGTCTATAGGGTGTGCAAAGGTCTCACTACTAGACAGGACGAGTAGTGATCCTCCTGTTTACAGCCTCCCAAGAACTTGGATTACAGGCACACACCAAAAACTACTGAGTTTGACAGTGTTTTATGTATTCTCTACACAAGTGCTTTGTCAGCCCTGTAATTCACAGATGCTTTCTCCCAATTTGGGGCTATCTTTTCCTCTGCCCTAATAGGATCACAGAACAAAGATTTTTAATTGTCATGAGATCCACCTTATCGATTTCCCCTTCTATAGACTATGTTTTGGTGTCATTTCTAAACACTCTTTACTCAGGCCCATATCCTAAATTTTTTTCATGAATTGTATAGTTTTAGATTTTCCACTTGAGTCTTTCATTCATTTGAATTAATTTTATTTAAGACTACCTGAAAACTATCTTTGAAACATAAAATGCACAGGCGTAGAAATAGAGCCAATCTTATTGAAATAAAGTGAGTTATTCTAAAGTCATACGACATTCACATGTGTTAATATCTGACAAGATGATAAATATCAATTCCGAAGGTAATGAATATGAAACCTATTTCAAAATATGTGCAGTAACTAAAATTTTATGAAAATGTGTGTGATTCTGCTGGATCTACTGGGCACCTTACTATGTTTAGTTGCTTACATTAATAATCAAAATAAACTCTAATGTATTGGCAGACACTATTGAAAATGAAGAAGCATTCTTGCTCATCCAATTTCAAGGATCTCAGATTAACATCCTCTAAGAATAAAGAGAAGAAATGAATTTATTCCATATAGTTCTAGACATGATGGGAATCTAGGACCAATGAATAGATACTGTACTATATATATCAATATATGATTTATATTTTAATGTAAATCCTAAGACAGCATTAAATAAGTAGCTGTCTGTAAATGCTCCTCTGTTACCTATAAAGAAATGTAATTCTATATCCAGACAATTATCCAGTAACCCTTGAGCCTTTGTCAGGAACACACAAGGAAGGGTGGCAATGACAATGACTAAGAACCCCTCATGAGCTAAGAGTTCTGTTTTAGAGAGAAAAGGAGCTGAGAACTTGTAGTTCTAGGTGGTTTTCTAGAAATCCCTAACCTTCACCAGAACAGTGGGAAGATAACTGCCCAAGCCATCTAGCTTTGAGACACCCAGCCAAAGGTGTTTGAAAGTACCTGTTAATTTTTCCTCCTGGTTTTCTAAAGCATTTCATAGATTGCTGACTGGTCCCTATCAGGGAGCTCTGTGATTTTCATTATTACATGTAAATTAATCAACTGAAAGAAGAAAGTACAAGCATTTAGTTGCACAAGGTTGTCCTATTTTGACAGCATTTTAGTTATGGGTTCAAGAGTAATTACTGAAATAAATCATCAATAGGTGGTGGTGATATTGATTTTGTGTCAGCACCTGCATAAACTATAACCCAGCCTCCAAGCAGAGCCATGTTCATTGTCTTTTGTGCTTTATTTTCCAAATGCTGTCCAAAACCAAGGCTTTTCAGCTTCCACAAGGCATTGCCTACTGAGGTGCTTTTCCCAGGAAGCCTTCCTGCCCACATCACCTCTCCCTCCCCGGCTCTCACTCTGACCGGTCTCTCTGGACCATTTCACCGTGCTCTCTTAACTAGTGTGAAATGCTAATACGGATTGCTGTGATTTTCCAACAAAGCAGAAGGAAAATGTGATTACTGGTCAGAGGGTTTCATATTAGCACTTGCTTCTGCTAATTTAAAAATGGGTTGGACTGCAGGAAAACCAATTTCCTCCCTTAACATTAGTTTCTTCTGCTGTTCTTTGTTTAATAAATATCCTCTGGGCTCAAACAAATGTGAATAGGGGAAGGAGAATTCAGCTCTCATTCTGTTAAAGGCAAACTTGAAATCTAGATGGATTTAATTTTTTGAAGACCACTTTAAACTTAATCTTCAAATTAAAGTCAAATAACTTCCTTGGTTTTATCTATGTATGTTTTTAACCAGTTGGCTCAGACAGAAAATCTACTTTGATGTTCTGATTTCATTAAAGGTGACTCAGATAACTCTGAATGGCAGGGCACTGAATCAGAATAATGCAACCTTAAATAAACTTGGATTATATAGTTTTCACTTCATACCAAGAAATGCTCCTCTGGCTGATAACAAAAGGCATGGATTGAAGCAGAACATGAAACAACCAAAGATTCTGCATTTAATGAATCTCAAGTCTGCATCTCAGTATTGTTTCTTAAGTATTGAAGAGGGCTAGATATGTATTTATCCCAGAAAAATAACTCTTATTTCTTAATTGAGCGATATATTTGAAATAACACTTTTGACTTTTCTAGTTCAAAATATAGACTCCTTTTCTAAATTTCAACTATAATTTGTGTATCTTGGTGCTACATATGGATAAACAAAGCCTTCCCTTCTTCCCAGCTCTGTGCCCTAATTTCTGGTCAGTCATTAACTATGCATTATACTTATTTAATTTATGTTTATTTTAGTATTTCATGCTTGCAGTACATAACCATTACATTCTGCTTG